GATGAAATAGCATGGGGGCATGTTGATAAAGAGGGCTGGGAACTGAACTCTAGAGAACTCATAAAGTTATGAGTTTGGTTTGGTTGGTTATATAGAAGGAACTGGCAAAGATGACAGGAGGGCCGGGCATGGTAGCTCATGCCTATAATCCTAGCACTTGGGGAGGCCAAGGAGGGCAGATTGCTTGAGTCCAGGAGTTCGAGACAGCCTGGGCAACATGGCAAAAACCCATCTCTACAAAAAATACAAATATTAGCCAAGTGTGGTGGTAGGCACCTGTAGTCCTAGCTACATGGGAGGATCACTTGAGCCCAGGAGGCGGAGGTTGCAGTGAGCTGTGATCACACCACTGCACTCCAGCCTGGGGAACAGAGTGAGACCCTGTCTCAAAAAAAAAAAAAAAAAAGACAGGAGTGGACCAGTTAGTGTGAGAAACAAAAGTGGGGGCCGACTATGAGGTATGGGTTCAGCAGTGTGGGGATTAGGAGGCAGGTGATAAGAGGTGACATGAGAATCTAAGGCTTCTTCTGGTTTGATGTAAAAATAGGAGCATAACAAGGAGTCTTAGAAATGGTGTGGGGTTACTTTTAGAGTTTTTATGGGGAAGAAAGGCTGGATGCTTTCAAGGATGCCCAGGGAGAGGCGAATGTATCTGTGTCCTGTTTCGCCTTATACAAGGAAAATGACAGTTTCCTTTGTTTCAAATGAGGATGAAGCTAAAAATTATTAGTATTAAATAGTAGCATTCAATTGCTATTAAACTTGATAGACCACTTAATAGTGATTCTCAACTTTGTACATTGGAAACATCTGGGGATCCTATTTCCAGATGGTTTAGGGTGTGGCCTGAACAGTTGGGCTTTTAAAAAGCTCCCCAAGTGATTTTAGTTTGCAGCCAAGATTGAGAACCACTGCCTTCTAGAAATAAACTTATTTTCCAAATGAAATCAATTATTGTTTGATTGAATCTGGCATCGTATCTGAAACAATTCAATTAGTGTTGTACCATTGTTTCATCAACAAATCCTTGGGTTAAAAATTTTCAGAGCTGTTTAGCTTAAAAAATTTAATCTGCTCCCATCCAAATGAAAGATCTACAGGTAATGGAAACCAGAGCAAATTATCTAACCTGCCTAAACCTTGGTTTGTTCATTCTTTTTGTACTGGAACAATGAAAGTTCTAATGAAAGCCAGCCTTAGCTTGATGTGGGAATATTACAGGAGGTAATGTAAAAAGTATTCTATCATACTGAGTCAAGTACAAAGCAAGCCCTGACCACAAAAGGAATATGTAAAAGTGAAAAACTTGAGCCCTGACCACAAAAAGTGAAAGTGAAAAATTTGTACTTTCTCTAGGTACCTATACGTGTATTTTTGGATCTATCCTCATTGCCCTGTATACCTTTAAGCAAGCCAGTGGAACTCTTAAGACTAGATTTAATGACTCCATATTTGAACACCTCTAAAAGAGAAGTAAAGGTAAGGACAACATGCAAAATGATTTCGTTTGTTATTGTTTAGAATAATTATCTTAAATTAGGTGATACTTTTATACATAGTTTTAGCTACTTTAAAGATTTAAATCTTATTTTCTGAACAATATCCAAAAATGGATTTAAGTAAATTAGTGAATAGGTTAATATTGATACGAATTAGCTGGTGAAATGTATTTTAAAATAAATTCTTGTATTTAAAAGTAACTAAAAAGAGAAAGAAGACTTAAGTCTACTCTATGTACTCTGATGATATTTTCATAATTTCTTAATTTTCATAGGTACACATTTGTAAATCTGGAAGAGTGACTGCTATTCCATTTTGGTATCATATGTACCTTGATGAAGAGATTAGGTTGGATACTTCAAGTGAAGCCTCCCACTGGAAACAAGCTGCAGTTGTTTTAGATAATCCCATCCAGGTTGAAATGGGAGAGGAACTTGTACTCAGTGTTCAGCACCACAAAAGCAATGTCAGCATCACAGTAAAGCAATGAAGAGCAGTTTTCCAATGAAAACTGTTTAAATAGAGCATCAACAAGTACAAAATTCTTATCTTAATTAGTGGGGGTCTATAAAAATTCCTTGTAATCGTCAAATATTTTTAAACATTGACATTAATAAAGCATATTTTAAAATATTCTAAGTAAAAGAGTAGCATTATTATAGAAATACTGCTGCAGATTTGCTTTCTGGAAAAGGATACATCACTAGTTTTTTGAATTAGGAAACTTCTTTTGCTCGATATTATGGAATAGGGATTTTAAAAGTCTTATTGTTATTGACGTGTCAATAAGTAAAGCAAAACTTTACTTTTGTAGGCATCTTGGCCTTTTTTCTTAAATCCAAACTTGTAATTGGGAAACACTGAAAGGCTTCCACTGAAGACTGAGGGTTATGGTTACCTGTAAATTCCAATCTTGCTTCCTTTAAATACTCAGTGTACATCTGAAACAGGTTTTGTTTTGAGAATGCAAGCTTGAAAAAGAATTTAAGCTATAAGCTAAATGTAATTACAACAGTTAAGGAGTTAGGGAATAAATCTTCAGGAGGCAGCATTTTTCTTGGTCTACTTTGGCAAAAGAACATTTAAAAGCTGGTAACAACAAAGTTTAACTGAAGAAAGAGTTAATCCTAAACTATTTTTCCAAGTTTTGATTTGGATGCACAATAAGTAGATTAATTGATCCAATTTTTACAGACTTTTGAAATAAAGGAAGATCATTATTATGCCTCCTATATGCTGTATACTCTTTGTAAGTCACAAATAAGACGGATCTTTGCTCCAGACTACCTATTCTTGGTACCTCTATAATTATACTACCCGGCTTTATTTTTAAAATAAATTTTATTGCATACATTTAAGGTATACGACGTGAAGCAAATTAACATATCCATCATCTCAGTTACCCATATATTTTTTGTTTCTGACAAGAGCAGCTGAAAGCTACTCATTTAGCATGAATCCCAAATACAGTACAATTTTGTTACCTAAAATTCTCATGTTGTACATTAGATCTCTAGACTTGTTCATCCTACATATCTGCTACTTTGAATCCTTTGACCTACATTTCCCCATTTCTCCCTACCCCCCATAACCAGTTTTGTTCTTTATATATTTGAATTTTTTTAGATTCTACGTATATGTGAGATTATGCAGTATCTTTTTTTCTGTCTGGCTTATTTCATTTAGCACAGTGTCTTTCAGGCCCATCCATGTTGTAGCAAATGGCAGTATATCGTTGTTGTTGTTTTTTTTTTTTTAAGGGATGAATAATATTCCATTGTGTGTATGCATATATATAGTTTCTTTATTCATCTGTCAACAGACACTTGAGTTGTCTCCATATGTTGGCTACTGCGAATAATGCTGTAATGAACACGGACTGCAGATCTATTTACAAGGTGGTGATTTCATATGCTTTGAGTATATGCCCAGAAGAGGGATTGCTGGATCATATGGTAGTTTTATTTTTCTTTAGAAACTTCAATTCCATTTTCCGTTGAGAGGTAGTACTTCAGAGTGGTTTTTATATGCATTTCCTTGATGATTAATTATGTTGAGCACCCTTTTATATACCTGTTGGCCATCTGTGTGTCTTCTTCGGAGAAATGTCTATTCAGGTCTTTTGCCCATTTTTAAAATTGAGTTGTATGAATTCTTTATACATTTTGGATACTAACCCTGTTTCAGATATATGGCTTACAAATATTTTTTACGCAACCTGTAGGCTATTGTTTCATTTTGTTGACTGTTTCTTTTACTGTCAGCAGCTTTTTGGTTTGATGTAGTCAGGTTTGTTTTTGCTTCTGTTGACTGAGCTTTTGGTGTGGTATCCAAAAAATCATTGCCAAGGGTCAGTGTCCAGAAACTTTTCTCCTATGTTTTCTTCTAGTTTTATTGTTTCTGGTCTTACATTTAGGTCTTTTATCCATCTTGAGTTGATTGTTGTGTAGGTCTAAGATAAGGGTCTGATTTCATTGTTTTGCCTGTGGAAATGCAGTTTCCCAGCACCACTTAATGAAGACTGTTCTTTCCCTGCTGTGTCTTCTTGGTGTCTTTGTCAAAAATTAGTTGATTGTATATGTTTGGATTTATTTCTGGATCCTTTCTTCTGTCCCACTGTTCTATGTATGTATTTTTATGCCAGTACCATACTGTCTTGATTACTATAGCTTTGTAATATAATTTATAATTAGGAAATGTGATGTCTCCAACTTTTTTTCCTCAGTATTGTTTTGCCTATTCAGGGTCTTTTATGGTTACATATGAATTTTAGGATTTTTTTTCTATTTGTGTAAATAATGCCATTGGAATTTTGATAGGATTGCGTTGATTCTGAATTGCTTTGGGTAGTGTGACCATTTTAACAATACTATTCTGATCCATGAGCACAGGATATCTTTCCATTTATTTGTGTCTTTCTTTCATCAGTGTTTCATAGTTTTCAGTGTACAAGTCTTTTACTGCCTTGGTGTTAAATTTATTCCTAAGTATTTTTTAATGCTATCATAAATGGCATCTTGATTTTTCAGTTAGATCATTATTTACGTATAAAAATGCTAATGCTTTTTGTATGTTGATTTTGTATTCTGCAACTTTACTGAATTCACTTGAGTTCTAACAGATTTTTTTTTTGTGTATCTTTGGGGTTTTTACATATAGCCCAGTTTTAGTTTTAATAGAAATGTTTATAACAGTGGACAGAATAAAGACTTTGTATAATTACTGTGAACCACTATATCTGTCTCTATATATGTATATATGAATGAGTATGTGTATAAATACATAAAGCAAAGGCTTTGAGAAACAATACTCATCTTTGCTTTCTGTAACATACTATGGCACTTTCTATTTTATTTTCATTATAAAATGTCAAACATGACCCAGTGGGGTTGTGATTAGCAATTAGAGAAACCCCATCATAGGTAATAAAGTTTTCCTAAATAGCACCTATATATCTTCTGACTGTGGTTTAATGAGTAATTAAGACCATTCAGCCAAGATTTACATTTGCTGCCACCTTTAATAGCATTGACGAAAAGTAGTACATTTTTTGACTTCTTTTTCACTGTGCCTCTAATCAAAAATTGTTAAAATATTAAGGTTTTTTAATGTTTAAAGAATGAGACATAAAAAAGTTGCAGAAAATAAATGATAAATTCTTATTTATTGAAAGACATTCAGTTGAGAAATAAGAGATATAACTGCTTGTTAGGTAAGCTTATATGGCACATGATTAAGTTCCACTAATTCGTATTTCTGCATTATGCTTTCTGATAATTCCGGAGCATTATACTCATGCAGCAGTGGTAGGAAGTACTGATTTTTTAAAAAAAAGTCCATTCTCAACCGGGCGCAGCGGCTCACGCCTATAAACCCAGCACTTTGGGAGGCCGAGGTGGGTGGATCACGAGGTCAAGAGATCGAGACCATCCTGGCTAACACGGTGAAACCCTGTCTCTACTTAAAAAAAAAAAAAAAAAAAGCCGGGCATGGTGGCGGGTGCCTGTAGTCCCAGCTACTCGGGAGGCTGAGACAGGAGAATGGCGTTTACCCGGGAGGCAGAGCTTGCAGTGAGCCGAGATTGCGCCACTGCACTCCAGCCTAGGTGACAGAGCAAGATTCCGTCTCCAAAAAAAAAAAGTCCATCCTCTTGATAAAGCAGTGTAACATCAGGAAAATTTAGTTGGGGTCATTGTCTACCATTTGAGTATGTGATACTCTAATGTTAAGAAATCAAGTCTAAGTCTAGGAAATTTAGACCAATTATTTTTGATATACAAAACTTACATATATAAATTCAGTAGTTGTACCTGGCTTGCAGCTATTTTTGTGTTGACAGTTTCCATCATTTATGGTTTGTCCCAAGCACAAAATCCATGGGATTCCAGGTAATGATACAATATAGTAGTCGCACAGTTCGCTTTTCCATACTGTTCAGGAATCCACGGATTTATCTGAAGGTTCTTTTTTTTCTCCTATAGTATCACTAAGTATTTCATCAGATATCTTAGATGTGGTAGGTGTAGTCTGGGGAGTCACAGTGTGTCCAAACCCTTGGTAGTGACCCATGGGTGAAGGTGGCATAGAAGAAGTAATGGAAATTGCATCTTGTGATGATGATGATAATAAGCTTGTATGTTCATTTTGATCTTGATCCTCGGGAAACAATTTTTTCCTGGGATGTCCCCTGACTGTCCGTCCTTTAATATAAAGTTTTCTGTTAGTCAAAAGTTATTTTTACCATTATAAACTTAACATTCTAAAAATAAGCTCCCCACTTCCCCCTCTCCCACTCCCCAAACTTGATGAGCCTGCACTGTGGTACTGCTTTAAAGTCTTTTTTTCGTCTCCAAATAGATAATAAATTGCCCTAGCAGGAGAAATTCAATATCCTACCTAACCTATTTGGTTGAATTAAATAGCTGGTACTTACCAACATGCCTTACTTGTTCAGAAATATCATCTCTAATATCTGAGACATCCCACATGGCAAGAAAGGAATCAAAGCATGAGCCTTCTTCTGCTTCTTGGACATATGGTTTATATGAGAATGTGTAATGATGAGCAATGGCAGCGAGGAACATCTCAATACAGATAATAAAATCCTATGAGAACAATAAAATAATAGTCATCTTTGGATTTAAATCTAGTTTTGTAGAGTGCTATCTTTCTCTACTTGCTTTTCAAAAGTGGTAAGTTAAACAGCTGTGTTTTTTCTTCTCAGATTATATTCATTTTTCCATTTTCCAAATAATTATTTTTGACCTCTTCAAAAAAAGGCAAAATGCCAAAATGTTAATCTATTTTGCACTTCCTCAAGTAGCAGCCTTGAATTCCTGCATTCAAGCAATCCTCCCACTTCAGCCTCCCACGTAGCTAGGAGTATAGACATGCACTGTTGGGCCTGGCTAAGTATTTTATTTTTTAATTTTTTGTAGAGATAAGGTCTCGCTTTGTTGCCCAGGCTGGTCTCGAATGCCTGGACTCAAGTGATGCCCCAACGTTGGCCTTACGAAGTGCTAGGATTACAGGCATGAGTCACTGCATCCAGTCAGCCTCAAGTATTTCTTAGCAAAGTACATTTCATTCTCAGTCACATCAAGTATATTGCATTTCACCACCCAAGGACTACAAGGAGAAATGTAGAAAGAGAATTGGACTTAGGAATAATGAAATCCAGGTTTTATTCGCGTATCTGCTACAAATTAGTAATTATGGCCAATTTCTCTAGGGTTCCCCTGTTTTTTCACCTGTAAAGTGAAGATAATAGCCCCCATACCCTGTGGGTTGTCAGATTTAGTGGAGATAATGTAAAAATGCTTAACAAATAGTAAAGTTCTATTGAATTCAGAGATGGCACCTACTTACCTGGAGTCCGGTGGCCACAGCTTCTACAGTTTGCCATTCCCATGTATGCTTTTCAGAAATAACGCCAACTTTTACCAACAAAGCAATAACTACTGCTTGCCTATATGTTAGGAAAAGGTAAACGCCAAATCTATATCAAGCATAAAATGAGCAGTAGTTTTAAAAATGTGCCATTAAAAAAAAAACCCAGTGTAACCTGTGGACCACCACCACCCTCTGCCTTTACAGCATATTGCTGAAGAAACTCTATCTATGTTAAATATATTAATTTGCTTTACAAATTCATTTTTCTAGTAGTTTTGTCCCAAGATAGGGAGTCAAGCTGAGCATTTCAAGCAATCTAGAGATAATGGCCCCAGGTAGAATTTAAACAGCAAATAATGAAGTGGACATGCTTTCATAGTTGTATACACAAGAATATTCACTTCAGTGTTTCTTATAATGGTAAAAAAATTAGGAACAACCTAAATATCAAAAGGAGATTAGTAAAAAGTTATATTCACATAACAGAATACTAAGCAAAAGCAAAAAAAAAAAAAAGAAGGCCCACAAAAAACACCCCCCCAACAAACAAAATTGTATTTCTTTTTACTGACAAAGAACTGTATCTACAATATACTGAACACATTGTCGAATTCCACAAATTTTTATAGCATGAAACTTTCTCTGGAGTTTTATATGTGACACAGGTTTACCAAAATGTTAATCATTCTTTTCTGGGTGGTGGGATTTCAGGGATTTTTCTTTTTCCTCTTTTGTATTATTTCTAGCTTGTTAAATTTGGTGTATTTTTTTCTAGGACCCCTATTACCCACCTCTTTACTAAATTTTTTTCCTTTTTTTTTTTTTTTGAGACGGAGTTTCACTCTGGCGCCCAGGCTGGAGTGCAGTGGCGTGATTTTGGCTCACCACAACCTCTGCCTTCCGGGTTTAGGCGATTCTCCTGCCTTCCCTGCCAAGTAGCTGGGATTACAGGAGCCTGCTACCATGCCCAGCTGATTTTTGTATTTTTAGTAGAGACTAGCCATGTTGGCCAGGCTAGTCTGGAACTCCCAACCTCAGGTGATCCACCTGCCTCAGCCTCCCAAAGTGCTGCGATTATAGGTGTGAGCCCTGTGCCTGGCCCTCTTTACTATATTGAACTATGTATAGTTTTACCTTCTGTTTTAAAAGGATTTACTGATTATTTTCTCATATAATTAAATATTCTACATCATGCTTTCTTCCAAACTCCATAGTATTTTACTATATGACAGGGCCATGATTTATTTTAATAATTATTCCAGTATTGACATATTTAGGTTGTCTCAAACTATTTTCTTCATATAAATGTTACAGTGACCATCTAATTATTTCTTTTGAAAATCCTAGAAGGGCTAAAAAGATTAACTTTTTAAAAGATAAGTAGAGACATTTTAATCTATCATCCGCATTAAGACTATGTTTAAAAATCCTCCTTAATCAATGGTTTTTATTGCCTTTCAAAAAATGAGAACATTTAAAAGAAAGTAATACTTACCAAAAAGAAACAAAAACCACCAGCTTTACACAAAGAAATTTGCCAACAGGTTGGATTGGGCTCAGTTCTTCTTTTAGCACTTTATAAAATAGCAGGAGACAATACATGGCAAACTAGAAACAAGATTAACATTTAAACTTGTTCAATAAGAATATATACGGTAATAGAAATATTAAAGTTATATACCAGAGACCTGGTACAGAGTAATGTTTCAGGCAAACTTTTCTAGGCTTTATTATTCTATTTTTAGATTAACAAGCTTTTATAGTTTACTACAGATAAATATATACTATATACAACATCTTCCCTAAAAATGTTTTTAAGTGTTCACTTCCTGGGTTCCATAAAGGGAACAATAAACAAATGACTGACATAAATGGAAGAAATGGCTCTTGTTCAGCCAAATTAAAAAAATCCATCTGTAATGGCTTTTAAACATAAATGATCACTCATTTTATGGGGCTTTAGCTTATTACCTAGTCTATCCTATGTAACTAAGGTAACCCATTAAACAAGTCCAATTTCAATAAAATTGTGACTATGAAATCTGAATATAAAGAATCGAACAGTTTTTCCTGAGGGCAGTGTATTAGTTCAGCTAGATTTATTTTTTTTTAATGAACAAGACTTATTAACTATTTTTAGAAATCTGTAATAACCTAGTGTAGTGCTGAATAACAATAAATTTTCCTGAAAGTTCACTTTTCCCTATTAAAATTATATAAAATGCTAATGTAAAGTATTTTAGAATATGAAACCAGTAAAGAAAGAAAGAATAAAGTGATTCATGGTCTCCAATCATCCTTTGTACACATAAGCCAGTTTTTAAATAACTATCATGAACTAATTATAAAATTTTATTGCCTAATGTTTTTTCCACTTAAAATACATAACTTCTATATGTTTCATCAGGCTTATTTTTAATAACTGCCTAATATTTTGGCCAATGGAAAGACCACAGTGCATTCAACTAGTCCCTATCATTGGGTTTTGGATTGCTTTCAGCCTTTTGTTATTTACAAGTAATAGGCTTTATATACAAAGATACTTTAGGCAAACATACTTTTGAACACTTCTTTAGAATACATTCCCAGAAACAGAATTACTGGTTCCAAAGAGGATGAACATGTGGGAAAGCTTTGGCTACATGGACATTTAATTTTTATTATAAAGCTCTAATACCAAACATGCATACCACTGCATCTAAATTATTTTGCTGACAGCATTAGCCAAAGAATTTAAATAAAATGCACATTTTTTTAAGCTCCTAAGATCGAATAGAACATTACATCATAGGTCTTTGGAACATTAGTTTCTAGAACATCATCCATTTTTCTAAACTTGGCATTCTCAATTTTCCTTTAACTCCAAATATATATGATAACAGACAATTTTATTCTCGCATTTTCATTCAAACCCTGTACCGTCAAATATCAATTTGATATTTTCTCTTCTGAATATGTTCAGTATATGTGTGTGTGTATTTTTTTTTATGTAGCACTGTGCTTTTATTTATGATACACTCATACAGCTATGCAATGGGCAACAGAAATAAATGAACAAACATTGTCAACATGTGAGGGTATAAGTCGCCAAATAATTAACAAAGACATTATTATATTTTTATATATGTATTAAGATGTATATTAAAGTTTTTTTTCAAGTCTTCCTATAAATTAAATTTCAGATTTAATTTATAGGAAGATTAAAAAGAAACAAGCCTTATCCTAAAGAAGAAACTTTATCTAAAGAAATTTAGTTAGAGATACAAATTTAGTACATTTTAAGAAAAGTAAACATTTTACTTACCAACTGTGACATGTTGTTTATTATAACCAAATAAGTCCAAGCGTTTGAAAAGCTAAAGTTCCCTTCATCATATATACCAAGCAGCTCACAGATTCTAAAAATAGTAAAGATGAGATATCTCTATGATTAACTAAATCAAAATTGTACTTTAAAATACAGCAATAGCAATACTTATAGAAGTCAGTTTATTTGAGATCCCACTGATAATCACTTGACTTTGGACACAGAGAATTTAGAAGTCAGCTTATTTGAGAGCTCTATTGACAACCACTTGACTTTGGATCTAGAGGAAATTAAAAAATGAAAGAAACCAATTTTTTCTAGAAATGTTATTATATGATTATTCCTTCAACTTGAAGGAAATCCCAAATAAGACATGTAACACTTAACTAGAAAGATTACTAAATTTAAAAAAACCAACTATGCAGTCTAATAACTTCGGGAAAGCTTGATTGTTAAACATAATATAATGCAGGTGTATATAACTGTAGTTGTTAATTTTTTTCCCCTCAATTGTCTTGGAGGTAAATTTTATGAAAGACCCAGATCCCCTCAAGTAAGTACTACCATCAGTATTGTTATAGTCTTGCCCACTTTCTAAGCTGCAGGGAAATAAAGCATGCCTTCATAATTAAATGGCTAAATAATTGCTAGCTCAAAGGCAGAATAAAGAATTCTTTCACCGGTATTTCTTTCCAGTTTTCCTCTGTGAGCATGCAAAATGTTACTAACAACTAAGAGATAAAACATGTCATCTATTGACATTAAAGTCTTTGATGTTCTTGAATTTTTAGGGAATAGTTTTGCCAGGTAGCTTAATGATACCCCATTTTACCTCAATTCTAAGCCTTGACAGAATGTATTAAAAGAAAATATGACTTCTTTCTTAGAGTACTTCTAATATGTTCTAAATTAACTATGTAGAAAATAAAACTGTAATTAACCTAAAGTAGCATACTTTAACTTCATGCAGTAGGGTTTTTGTAAAGCTATGTATTTGAAAAAGTGTGTTTATTTTTTTTTTTTAATCTTCAAAGTGCTTTATAGCAAGCTAGCTCTAGAAAGGAGGTAAATATTTAGAAGACCCCTGTGGTGGTTCTTTGCCTATAAATGGTCATGTTATTTATTTTAATAGAGTGAGTTTCTATATAGTTTTTTTTTTTTTTACAACAGATTACACCTACATTATAAATAAGCACATTAACACTATGTTTTCTACTTAGTTGTTCCCACATAAGAGCACAAGGATTAAAAAAAAGTTCATATAAAATCCGAGTACTTACAAAGCAACGATGGTGGTGAAAGGTCTGACAACTGTGTACTGTAATACACCTAATTTGCACCTAAACAGCAATACTCTGCAAAAGAAAAAAAAACTTAGAATTTCAACGACTCATTTAAATAGCATCAGATTTTCCCCAAAGCCTCCAAACTGAAATAACTTTGATGAAGGATACCATATTTATAGTTAATTATTTCACTGTAGTCATCCTTAATAGCAGTGGCAGAAGAATGTGGATGGCAGGAAACAAATTATCTAAATACCTTTTTTTTTTTTGAGATATAGGGTCTTATTCTGTTGCCCAGGCTGGAGTGCAGTGGTGTGAACATGGCTCACTGCAGCCTCGACCTCCTGGACTCAAGTGATCCTCCTATCTCAGCCTCCTGAGTAGCTGGAACTATATCTGCATACCACCACACCTGGCTAATTTACTTGCTGTAGACATGGGGTCTCACTATGTTACCCAGGCTACTGCTGATCTCCTGGGTTCAAGTGATCCTCCCACCTCAGCCTCCTGAGTGGCTGGGACTGCAGGTGTGTGCCCCAACACCCAGCTATTTTTAAATTTTCTGTAGAGTTGTGGTCTCACTATGTTGCCCAGGCTAGTCTCAAACTCCTGGGCTCAAGCCATCCTCACACCTGTAATCCCAGCACTATGGGAGACCGAGGCGGGCAGATCACTTGAGACCAGCCTGGCCAACATGGCAAAACTCTGTCTCTACAAAAAAAGAATAACAAAATTAGCTGGGCGTGGTGGCACACACCTGTAGTCCCAGCTACTTGGGAGGCTGAGGCATGAGAATTGCTTGAAACTGGGGAGGTGGAGGTTGCAGTGAGCAGGTATCATGCCACTGTATTCTAGCCCAGGTGACAGAGCAAGACCATCTCAAAAACAAAAAACAAAAAACACAGTAATCTTTGAAAATGAAATTTAGATACCAGTTCTCTGCATAACATCCTATAAATGGTTTTTCATTTGACAAAGACTCCCATTTACCAAACTTTAGACAAGCCTCTGACACCTCTTTTCAACTTGGCTTCATCCTTGGGCCTTGTCCTTGTCCTGAGTGTCAACCAGTTTAAAAGAATCTTGCTAAATCATTCCCCAGCCCCCTTTGATATCTGATCACCTCTGACATCTGATCAAATTCCTCAGCCCCCACCCTTGATGACTAAGGCCTTGGCCTGCCTTTAGCAAGAATCCTGTTCAGTCAGTTTAGTGAGAATCCTCCTAGCCCTGATGTCCCCTCTTTGTAATTCTGCATTCACTGACCCTCAACATGCTCTAGTTATAAATGCCCATTTGTCCTTGTTGCCTTCAGAGTTGAGTACAATCTGTCTCCCCGATAACCAATCTACATTAATTTGACATTACTATTCTCTCATGGTCTCCTGTGCTTCCTTCATTGCATTTCCTGAAATAAGTAACTATGTATTTGTGTCTTCATTTAATTCCTAACTCTCCTAACCAAACTGTAAGTTCCATGAGGTCTATGGCTGTTCTGTGCACTAGGGTATTTCTTTATACTAGCATGTACTTGGTGTTCAATATATATTTGTCAAATGAACACATTAGTAGCTTATTATTTTAAAAAGCCAGGTAGCTCCCTGTCATTTCAAGGGTGTAAATAGAGACAAAATTTGTCAGGATGTCGTACAAATGGTCCTGTACTGCATAGGGGGCAATGCAGCCATTCTTATGATGTATGTCTACACTGATCACTCTACCTCCATTTACCTTGGCTTGTAACTTCCACTTTATTCCCCATTTATTAGTGAAACTGCCTTTGCAAAATTACGACTGAGACAGTGAAAGAGATCTAACTTAACCGACTCCATCTTGTGTCTAACCTCCAAGCTATCCTTGTTCATTCCTGGGAGTAGGCTGAGAAACTTAGTTTATAGTTTCTCCCAAAGCTATAGAAACAGCCCTGCCCCAAAGCAAACCTCCTTCTTGCCTGGGGACTAGATTGCCTTTGTAGGACTAACATTAGCCACAAGATTAGAAATTATGGTTTAGCCAAAACAGCATGATACTGGTACCAAAACAGAGATATAGACCAAAGGAACAGAACAGAGCCCTCAGAAATAATACCACACATCTACAGCCTGATCTTTGACAAACCTGACAAAAACAAGAAATGGGGAAAGGATTCCCTATTTAATAAATGGTGCTGGGCCGGGCGCGGTGGCTCAAGCCTGTAATCCCAGCATTTTGGAGCCGAGACGGGCGGATCACAAGGTCAGGAGATCGAGACCATCCTGGCTAACACGGTGAAACCCCGTCTCTACTAAAAAATACAAAAAACTAGCCGGGCGAGGTGGGGCGCCTGTAGTCCCAGCTACTCGGAGGCTGAGGCAGGAGAATGGCGGGAACCCGGGAGGCGGAGCTTGCAGTGAGCTGAGATCCGGCCACTGCACTCCAGCCTGGGTGACACAGCTGGACTCCATCTCAAAAAAAAAAAAAAAATAAAAATAAAATAAAAAAATAAATGGTGCTGGGAAAATTGGCTAGCCATAAGTAGAAAGCTGAAACTGGATCCTTTCCTTACTCCTTATACAAAAATTAATTCAAGATGTATTAGAGACTTAAATGTTAGACCTAAAACCATAAAAACCCTAGAAGAAAACCTAGGCAATACCATTCAGGACATAGGCATGGGCAAGGACTTCATGTCTAAAACACCAAAAGCAAACGGCAACAAAAGCCAAAATTGATAAATGGGATCTAAGTAAACTGAAGAGCTTCTGCACAGCAAAAGAAACCACCATCAGAGTGAACAGGCAACCTACAGAATGGGAGAAAATTTTTGCAAACTACTCATCTGACAAAGGGCTAATATCCAGAACCTATAAAGAACTCAAATAAATTTACAAGAAAAAACAACCTTATCAAAAAGTGGGCAAAGGATATGAACAGACACTTCTCAAAAGGGACATTCATACAGCCAACAGACACATGAAAAAATGCTCGTGATCACTTGCCATCAGAGAAATGCAAATCAAAACCACAATGAGATACCATCTCAACACCAGTTAGAATGGCAATCAATTAAAAAATCAGGAAACAACAGGTGCTGGAGAGGATGTGGAGAAACAGAAACATTTTACACTGTTGGTGGGACTGTAAATAGTTCAACCCGTGGAAACAGTGTGGCGATTCCTCCAAGGATCTAGAACTAGAAATACCATTTGACCAGCCACCCCATTACTGGGGATATACCCAAATAAATAAAATCATGTTGCTATAAGACACATGCACACTGTTTATGCAGCAGTATTCACAATAGCAAAGACTTGAATCAACCCACATGTCCATCAGTGACAGACTAGATTAGAAAATGTGCACATATACATCATGTAACACTAGGCAGCCATAAAAAAGGATGAGTTTGTGTCCTTTGTAGGGACATGCGAGTGCAATTGGAAACCATCATTCTCAGCAACACTATCACAGGAACACAAACCAAATACCCGCATTCTCACTCATAGGTGGGAATTGAACAACTGAAGATCACTTGGACACAGGAAGGGAACATCACACACCGGCCTTTGTGGGGAGGGAGGATAGCATTAGGGAATACAAAGTAAGATATTAAAGGTGCAGAAACCACATGGATGATACATATGTAAAAAACCTGCACGTTGCACATGTACCCTAGAACTTAAAGTTATAATTTAAAAAAAAAAAGAAAAAGTGGAAACTCCAGAATAAATGCTTTGGCAAAAAAAAAAAAGTAAGTATGTTTAGGAGTCATGCAGCGAGGCTATAAGATTCGGGCCCTCCCTAAACTGCTCCTGAGATCAGTGCTTGAGATATTTTGCAGACCCTGCATTTGTTGGACAGCTGGCACCACAGATCAATAAACTCGGCTCATTCTGACCTTGTGGCCCCCACCCGGAACTGACTGGACAAGATGGATAGCTTGGACTCCCTAAAAGATTTCACCTCTCACCAATCAGTACTCGTGGCTCACTGGCTTCCCCCTACCCAGCAAATTAACGTTAAAAACTCTGCTCCCCGAATGCCTGGGGAGACTGATTTGAGTAATAATAAAATTCTTGTCTCCTGCACAGCTGACTCTGTCTGAATTACTCTTTATCTTTTGCAATTCTCCTCTTGATGAATTGGTTCTGTCTAGGTGGCTGGCAAAGTGAACCCCTTCGGTGGTTGCATTAGTGGACACGTCCTATTGATTTTTCAGTTGCATTCTCTTATTGCCTTTCTTTTTTATTCCAATCTCATCCCTCCTTTTCAGTTTTATTTCACAAATAGATTATTATAAACTCCTATGTCCCCATCTCTGGAATCTTCTTCCCTCCAATTCATCCTTTATGATATTGCAAAATTAATCTTTCTAAAACACTGTTTTCAAATGTTTGCTTGCTGAAAAATACCAAATGGTTCATTTGTATAATAAATGCAATTGTAACCTCAATTTATTTTTCAAAATGAAATGACATAAATTTTAATGTCCTACATGAACATATAATAAGGCAAGCTGATGTATTATGTTACCAAACACTGTTACTTATTGCTCCTACTTCATATCATATGCGGTTCTACAATCTAGACTGTCTTGTCTTTGTCTTTTAACTAGCTGTGTGTTCTTATGTAAGATCTGCAGACCTTGGTTCTCAACTGCAAAAGCATATTGATTAAATGATTACTGTTTTTACCTGCAATCCTTTAATTTTTGGATTTGGGATTAATAATGTAAAAAAGACTAACATATATGTGGGATTACAAAACTGTGTTTTGTTAGCCTTCAAACAATAGGGAACTGCATCAGGAACTCTATCTTATACTTATTGTTCTGATATTAATACTTAATGTACTACCTTGTAAAGAGCTGACTGCTACTTAAAAACTCTGCTTAAACAAAAAACCAAAACATAAAAGAATTAAACCAAACATACTTACTCTCCCATAGCCCATGGTGGACAGCAACATAAAGGAGGAAAATGTTTCTGCTGATCTTTGGCTTCAAGGATTAATACCAGATTTGGATACCGGTTAGTTAGATAATTGGTAAGGAATCTCATAAAGTTGTAAATTACATAAGCTTCATAGCATTCTCTGCAGGTATCCACATATATTGCAATGCTGGGATATTTCAAAGCTATCCACTATGAAAAAGCACAGATGTTAAAAGATAGTTGCAGCTAAGATAAAATGAATCGCCACTCCATTCATGGTACTCACAATAAGCTAATTTTTATGCTTGAGATGTCTTGTCATATACTTACATACGACTCTCTAAAATTTATCATTATGAGGGCTATCAATCTGTGAAATGAATTTTTAAAAGCAATAAACATCTTAGATATTGGTAAACAAAAAGTAAGTGTTTGAGGGGTAAATAATGAATAAAGAGAGAAGCTAAAGTAAGTACTTAAGTTCTTAAATCTGAAGTTTTTCTTAATATGATCATAGATAATGCTACTAAAGATATTTCCTTTATATTTACTCAAATTAGAAGCAGTCATCTACAACAATTTCATGTGTATCTACTGGGGAAGGTTTTTAAATTTTTGGTTCAAATAAAAGACTTAATAAATAAAAAGAGTGGTAATATAATTTAAAATATTACATTCTTTACCAATCTGAAAGTTTAAAAGAAAGCAAACAGCTACAGATTTTTAAACATTTATAATATCACATTTTACATTTTTAATTATCATACTTTATATTCTCTATCAACATTAGAAACAAGTGAATCTTTTTACTTTTCTTATTAATCTGACACCTTATTGTCAATAACATAACTTTCATTAAGCATTCTGTAATTATAGTTAGTATCATCAAACAAGTTCTTAGTTAATGAGATAAAAATGAAACATACTTACACTATCTAAACTGTAAATGGGTACCATCCAAAGAATCCTATTGGAAAAGGAAAACATAAATTTAAAACGTTTTATGTCATATTTATAAAATAAGCCAACACAACACTGGTGGAATCAAAATATATTAAGACGTACCTTATTATTGGTTTCTGCAGTTCAGGTTGTGTATAATGCACTAAGTGTTGCAATATCACCCACAGTGATATAGGTATAGTCAACAGCAAAAAGATTCCAGCAATAAACCAAGCCTTGGTGTGTATTCCAACCTTAAGAAACAAAATAACGTGTTAGTATAAATTCTTATATTAAAACGAAAGAGCTTGGCCGGGCTCAGTGCCTTGTGCCTATAATCCTAGCACTTGGGGAGGCCAAGGTGGGGGTATCGCTTGAGGCCAGGAGTTTGAAACCAGTCTGGGCCTACAAAGTGAGATCTACAAAAAAAAAAAAAAAAAAAAAATTAAAAAAATTTTAAAATTAAAAATTTGGGGGGGGGGGGGCTTTAGTTTGAATCCTTTTTTTTTTTTTTTAAGGGAAAAAGGTGGGCATTTATTTTTGATGCTTGAAGGGTTGAGCAGTTTACAATTAAAATAGAACTGAGGTCTGCAACTTTAAGTATCACTGTTTCTTTTCTTTTTTTTTTTTGAGACAGTTTTGCTCTGTTGCCCAGGCTGGAGTACAGTGGTGCGATCTCGGCTCACTGCAACCTCTGCCTCTGGGGTTCAAGTGATTCTCCTGCCTCAGCCTCCCGAATAGCTGGGATTACACACCCAGCTAATTTTTTTGTATTTTTAGTAGAGACGGTGTTTCGCCCTGTTGACCAGCCTGGTCTGGAACTCCTGACATCAAGTGATCCGTCTGCCTCAGCTTCCTGAAGTGCTGGGATTACAGGCATGAGCCACCATGCCCGGCCCAGTTTCACTGTTTGAACAAGACTTTTTCTTCCTCTACCCGGGGCCAAAGATAAAAGAGGTAGAAAACAAAAGTATAGAGAACAAATGCATTTTTACAACAATAAATTTCTACATTAAAATGTATAGAAAGCTTGAAAAGGGCTGAGTGAGGTGGCTCATGATTGCTTGAGCCCAGGGGTTCTAGACCAGCCTGAGCAACATGGCGAGATGCCATCTCTACAAAAAATAAATTAGCGAGGCGTGGAAGCATGTGCCTGTAGTCCTACCTACTAGGAAGGCTGAGGTGGGAGATCTGCTTGGGCCCAGGAGGTCAAGGCTACAGTGAGCCATGATTGTGCCACTGTACTCCACCCTGGGCAACAGAGACCCTGTCTCAAAAACAAAAACAAACCAAAAGCCAATACAAAGTCTTACTAATTGTGGGGGCGTTAATCAAAGCAGTAAATGAAAAGCAAATATATGCAGGTGAAGACTCTAAAAGGAATGTGAGCACTCATATTACAGGGCTTTTTGCTTTTATCCATTTCATTTAAAATTGAATACAGTAGTCCCCACTTATATGTGGGGGATAGGTTCCCAGACCCCTAGTGAATGCCTAAAACTGTAGATAGTCCCAAATCCTATATGCATATACTATGTTTTTTCCTATACATATATACTTATGATAAAGTTTAATTCATAAATTGGACACACAGTAAGTGGTTAACAATAATAGAACAATTATGTATTGTAATAAGTTATTTAAAACTTATAAATTACTTATTTCTGAAATTTTCCATTTAATATTTTCAGACCATTGTGGACAACAGGTTACTAAAACCAAAGAAAGTGAAATTTCAGTGACAATCTAACAAAATAATAAGAGGATAAGCATATTCCAGATCTTCCTTATTATAAAGTGTTCATTAAGAATGGTACTGCGGCCAGGTGTGGTGGCTCATGCCTGTAATCCCAACACTTTGTGAGGCTGAGGCGGGCAGACGGTTGGGCCCAGGAGTATGAGACCAGCGTGGGCAACATGGCAAAGCTCCATCTCTACAAAAAATACAAAAAATTAGCTGGGTGCCAGAGGATCACCTGAGCCCAGAAAGTGAAAGCTGCAGTGAGCCATGATCATGCCACTGCACTCCAGCCTGGGTGACAGAGCGAGACCCTGGCTCAAAAAAAAAAAAAGAAAAAAAAAAGTAATGCCAAGTAATTGCTGTTTTTGATTGCTTTAGTTCCAAAAACTAGAACTTGGTGGTACACTTAAGAGAAAAATGATGTGCTTGTGACTAATGAAGGTCAAGTGTCCTCAGTGTGCTATAAAGAAAGTTGTTTTTGTTTTTAAACAATCATAAAACAAGTGACTAGAGACTTGGTCATTGCAGGCCAAATTTTAAAATCCTGTAGTATCATTTTTACATTGCAAGTGGTAACTTAGTTTAAGAAAAACATCATCTCTCCACCTTAATGTCATTAACTTTAATTATTGGTTTTACAGTTGTTTTGATTTTTGAGCTATATAAAAGTTATATGCATAAGAAATTTAACCTATTTTATGTGTGTATATATTTAAGTAACATTATAATAGAATAACTCAACACTAGGTATCTGCAGAAATTATCAATATAATTCTTTAATTTTATGTTTACCTCTAAATAATTTATTCAAATTTGAGACACACTGATATAGATACCAGTAGTATTATTCTTAATCTTATCAGCCATGAGTTGAGTTTTTTGGCTCACGAAATGAGGAGGAGATAAACAGATTTTTTTCTATGGTAACTTGAGGAAAGAAGAAAGGAAAGAAAAAACCCTTAAAGACAAGCATCCAAGAATAAGTTAACTCTCCCTTAGCAAAATGCTTCAAAACAGAGAGTGGAGATGAATAGGAGAGATTGCTTTCTGGGCCTGATCTTCCTGAGGGGAGAGAGTAGAACTGACCCAAGGGCATGAGGTAAATGTGCTGAGGTAAAAAAAAAAACACACAAAAAAAACAAAAGTGTGCTGAGGTAAAAAGACTAGAGCAGCACGCCATCACGTGCACATTCACTTCAGGTATACATGGTCAGTCAAGAGAGTGGGAAAAATAGTTTAAACAGGGCAGATGGTCATCCTACCATTCTAATAAATGAGTATATGCTCCACCATGGGCATGGGATGAGCTTCCAGAACTGTGAGAAAATAAATTTCTGTAGGTTAAGCCACTCAGGCTATGGTATTTTCTTACAGCAGTCTGGGCAGACCAAGATAAACTGCCACATTTATATCTGCAGTTCAAATCTTTCTGAACATTAGATGTGCATATCCAACAGCATATCTAACATGCCTACTGAATGTCTCTTATTAAACTAAATGTCCATAACAGAACTCAATTTCTCTCAAACCTGTTCCTAACCCCCAATTTTCTATCTCAGTAACTAGTACCACCATTTACACAGTTGTTCAAATAAAAAACTTCAGAATTATCTTTGATTTCTTCCTTTCTCTCATTGCTTCTCCTCTGGAATCCAATCTCCCGCCAAGTCTTGTTTGCTCACTTCTAAGAATACTTACAATTCAGTTTTCCATGACCATTCCTGCTATCCTTACCGGGGCCAGAAACCATCATAGCCCAGGCACCTACCACCTCTCACTACCGTAAAGAGCTTTCTAAATTCCCTTCACTTCTGCTTTATTTTCCATAGCTGGTAGAGTGGTCTTTTGAAGTTATGCAATTAGACTGCCCTGCATGGTAACTTCTCAGATCTTTTCTGGTTTTCTCCACAGCATTTTATACAATTTTATTGATTTTTTTTTTGGTTCCTTCTGTCTCCACCACTAAGTTCTATGGAGGTAAGTGTTCTCTTATATAGTATACAAAGCCTGATTCATCATTGGGACTCACTCATTTGGGCAGAAAGAAGGGGAAAAAAAACGAAGTAAAATATGTATTGTGGTAGATGGTGGTAAGTCCTATGGAAAAGAAAAAATAAAGCAGAGAAAGGAGTATGAAAAGTTGGAGAGGGGAAGTTGACAATGTTAAATAGAGTAGTCAAGTGACATCTGAGTAATGACCTGAAGAACATAAAGGAATGAGAAGAATATCTAGGGAAAGGACATTCTGAGAAGGGGAAACTTTGTGCAAAGCTTCAAGGAGGGAGCATGCCTGGGATTTTTTTTTTTTTTTTTTTTTTGAGACAGAGTCTCACTCTGCCGCCCAGGCTGGAGGTGCAGTGGCACAATCTCGGCTCACTGCAAGCTCTGCCTCCCGGGTTCACGCCATTCTCCTGCCTCAGCCTCCCGAGTAGCTAGGACTACAAGCGCCCGCCACCACGCCCGGCTAATTTTTTTTTTTTTTTTTTTTAGTAGAGACGGGTTTTCATGTTAGCCAGGATGGTCTCGATCTCCTGACCTCGTGATCTGCCCGCCTCGGCCTCCCAAAGTGCTGGGATTACAGACGTGAGCCATCCTGCCCGGCCAATGCCTGGGATTTTTGAGCAAAGTCGAGCAGTGGAAGCCTAGGACTTGAGGAGAAAAAGTCAGAGGGGGATCGGGTGGGAGTAGTGTCAGATCATGTTGGACCCTGATGGCCATAGTGAGGAATATTGGCCTTTACTCTAGGACTAGAAGCGATTTAAGAGGACACACATAATGTGCCATGTTTTAACTGGTTACTCTGGCTGGTGTGTTGAGAAGAGACCAAGCAAGACATGTTGAGAATTTGGCTTAGGATGTTAGCAGTACAGATTGCAGATTCCAATTTTTCTTAAAAAGCTAGTGGCACCTGGCCAGGAGAGGCGGCTCATGCCTGTAATCCCAGCACTTTGGGAGGCCCAGGTGGGCAGATCACGAGGTCAGGAGATCAAGACCATCCTGGCTAACACGGTGAAACCTCGTTTCTACTAAAAAGACAAAAAATTAGCTGGGCGTGGTGGCACGCGCCTGTAGTCCCAGCTACTCAGGAGGCTGAAGCAGGAGAATGGCGTGAACCCGGGAGGCGGAGCTTGCAGTGAGCTGAGATCTCACCACTGCACTCCAGCCTGGGCGACAGAGCCAGACTCCGTCTCAAAAAAACAAAAACAAAAACAAAAACAAAAAAAAACCTAGTGGCACCTAAAAACCACAGTTGAAACTAGCAACTAAGAGAAGTCTTAAACTGGACTGATATTATGCATATTATTAACCTTTAAAGTAGTTCCTATACCATGCTCCAAGGAAATATTTCAAAGTAAGAAAAACCCAATGTATTCAGATGTTTATACCTAAGTTTTTGTAGACAAATTGTGGAAATAACCTAAATATCTAACAAATGGGAAATATTTAATGTAGCAGAATATTACATGGCCATTAAAAATAACTATATGGGTCAGGCACAGTGGCTCATGCTTGTAATCCCAGCACTTTAGGAAGCCAAGGCGGGTGGATCACAAGGTCAGGAGTTGAGACCGGCCTGGCCAACACAGTGAAACCCCGTCTGTACTAAAAATACAAAAATTAGTTGGGTGTGGTGGTGGACACCTGTAATCCCAGCTACTTGGGAGGCTGAGGCAGGAGAACTGCTCGAATCGGGGAGGCGGAGGTTGCAGTGAGCAGAGATTGCACCACTGCACTCCAGCCAGAGCAACAGAGATAGACTCTGTCTCAAAGAAAATAAAAATAAACAACAACAAAAAATAACTATATGGGACCGGGCGCAGTGGCTCATGCCTGTAATCCCAGCACTCTGGGAGGCCGAGGAGGACGGATCAGCTGAGGTCAGAAGTTTGAGACAAGCCCGACCAACATGGAGAAACCCCGTCACTACTAAAAATACAAAAGTAGCGGGGTGTGATGGCACATGCCTGTAATCCTAGCTGCTACGAAGGTTGAGGCAGAAGAATCGCTTGAACCCGGGAGGCGGAGGTTGCGGTGAGCCGAGATCTCACCACTGCATTCCAGCCTGGGCAACAGGAGCAAAACTCCGTCTCAAAAACAAACAAACAAACAAACAACTACATGGACTATGCTAGTATGGGAAAGTCATCAGAAAATAATTTAGTCTAAATAGAGAACACAAATGTATATTAAATACAGTTTATGTAAAAATCATTTCCACAATGAAGAAGGGCCTAAAATAGTCATGGTCTTGTTATAGTTCTTGTAATAGGTGTTCCTTGTAAAAGTACTTGGTGGGTTTTATTAACCCCGAATTTAAAGTTCATTATATAATATTTATATCTGAGTTATTTACCTTGGGGTTTTCCAGCTTGTACTACATTACTGATGTCACAATAAGCATATGACATCAAAAAATATATATAAGGGGGTTTTTGCAAAACCTTTGTTGGGTAAGAGCTAATTTCCACAGTAAAAACGAACACCAAAGTTAAAACAACGAGAATCCTTTGATTCAGGAAGCTAGTAAAAAACTAATAAAATTCAATACATGGTTTTCAAGGTAGTTTATTTGACCTAGTTTAGTCCAATATCTGAACAGATCAGATTTTAGGAATAAAATTACCTTATTTTCAGGGAACTGATGAATACTTGCAAAACAGTGCCCTTCTAAGCAGCTATATTAATATATTCTATTTTCTCGACCCGGTCTCACCTCCACCTGTAGCATGACTTGAAGAACCGTGAACAAGAAATTAGAGAGGTTTATATCCTAAGAGTGGGCTCGTTTACATTAGATGGTTTTCAGGATTGTTAGGGCAGAAATGGGGGAAGGGTGTCTCCTTCCCAACTACAGATGGGTAGAAGAAAGTGTAGAGGCTGATGGTGCAGAACCCTCTTACCTCCAGTTTCTGTAATTCCCACACGCATAGGGGAACCGCAACCACTATGGACACCAGGTAGATGACCACTGCTAAAGGTCGAATCCACTGTCTCCAGTTCCTCCAGGTACAAGTGCAAGGCATGTTTTCGCACAATCAGATCCGGTTAGCAAGGGAAAAGAGCTCGAAAAGATTGTAATGGGGAGCCCTGTTCTCTGGCTTTTTGTCAACTCGCATACTACGGAGAAAAAGCTGTCGGGCGACTTTACGAACAGCTCAAGCCGCCTCCTGGACCGGCGCTGTGTCTTCTTCTGCTGCTGCTCCTGCAAATGTAGCCGCTCAGGGTGCTATTGGGGAGCAGTGCAGGCAACATTCTTTCTTCCCCACCCCGCATCTACCCGGTTCTATTGCGGTGGAATCCCAGGCAGAGCCGCTGCCCTCACCTGGGGATCGCCCTGAGCTCTGCCTGTACCATGGCTTCCAGGAGAGCAGCACCGACCAGGAACCGGCCTCTAGGGACCCTGCACACTCCGGTTCTGTCTCGCAGCTGCCTGCCCACTCGCTCTTTTCTTTGGGGAATCGAGCTTCCTACCTCCCGCACTGGCAGGCGTCTCTTCACCCGATTCCACTAGTAGGTAAGGCCCCAGGATCTCACTCACTCGCACGGGACATCCCCTACGGCGGAACCCAAGGCCAAACCAGGACTTTCAGCTCTTTTCCGCTTCCGCCCCTGAGGTCTAAGGCAGGTGATTTGTCGTCAGCGCCAAACTGGACCCGCCCCATCCGGCTCACTTTGCTCTCTCTGATTGGTCAGCTGCGGGGGCGGGGCTGCAGGATTGTGTACTGGGGTTAGAAAGAAGAGCAGATGCATGGAAGTGGGTGGAGTTGCCGCAGGTGGTCCAGTGGGCTATTACAAGGATTCTGGAAGCTGCAGGAATTGTTTGAGGATACGTGAGGCACACCTACTACATTCTTCTGATGGCGTTATGACAGTTTAAAGAAAGCTTGGGTAAGGGGCGGTTACTTCAGAGTTGGACTGGAAGAGAGAAGGCCCATCTCTACACAAAACATCCCCTATTCAATCTAGAGTGGATACAGAAGCCGGCTGGAGTAAGAAGGCAGGGAAGAATGGGAAACCTCCACCTAGTTTTATGTCAGTTGCTGGAATCTAGGGGCTAGGCCGCTTGGTTATTTCTGGATCCTACAGAAATATCATTCTAAAGGTAGCTTAATTTTAGAATTAACCGCAAATACGAAATGTCCTTTCCACATTTGGAACTCGTGTTAAACATTTGCACTCATTTACGTTTTAAAAAGTTGACATTCTAGCTGACAAAGGAGTTTTATATGCTAAAAGCCTTTAAACCAATAGAGCAAACAAATATCTACTTCTCAATTACATATACAAATGCGTTTTATATTATTGTAATTTTCAGGGGGACAGGCACTGTACTAAGTTCATTACCTACATTATGTAAGTTGTTCTGCACAAACATTTTGAGAGGTAGGCATTTTTCCGCTTTACAGATGAAAAAGTCAAGTGGCTAAATGCCCAGTCTCACTGAGCTAGTTAAGTGTTAGTGTGGAGATACTAACCTTGGTCCTTCTGATTCCAAAGGGCATTATATTTAAGCATTTCACCTGCTAGTGACTGCCACCTGGGGGATTTCCGCCTAATGACCATATGGGTAAGGAGGCTTGCAACATTGAGTACACCTAGCCCAGGATTCTTACAGAGACACTGAAGGAATATTATGAGCCCCTTTCCTGGTGTCGTCTGTTTGGAGCTTGACTTCCGCTGCCTACTTCCCAGTCATTAACATCTGTATTTTACAACCTGACCCAAACTGCTCTCTACTGGAAAAATAGGCCTTTTGTTTGTTCTTCCTAAACTTACTTGAAAAATTGAAATTAAGGCCGGGCGCGGTGACTCACGCCTGTAATCCCAACACTTTGGGAGGCCGAAGTGGGCAGATCGCGAGGTCAGGAGATTGAGACCATCCTGGCTAACAGGGTGAAACCCCGTCTCTACTAGAAATACAAAAAATTAGCCGAGTGTGGTGGCGGGCGCCTGTAGTCCCAGCTACTCAGGAGGCTAAGGCAGGAGAAAGACGTGAACCCGGGAGGCAGAGCTTGCAGTGAGCCGACATCACACCACTACACTCCAGCCTGGGTGACAGAGCGAGACTCTGTCTCAAAAAAATAAAAAATAAAATTGAAATTAAAAAACATTTCCTGATCATTAAATTAATGCTTGCTCTATTGTTAAAGTTCATAAAAGAGAAGAATAATGAAGAGAAAGTTAACCTTACTCTACAGCCAAGTATAACTACTCTTTATTTTTTGGTACTCAGTAGAGGCTATCTTGGATATGCTGTATGCATAGATTGGGCTTTCAGCTACAATTGTTTTTGCTGCCTATAATTTTCCCCATTCTTTCTCATGGGCAAACTTTTTTTTACCTAGTTTGTGAGACCTTCCTTTATTTTTGTTTCTCCATGTATTCTTACAGCATTCAGATGGTATTATACTCATTTACTTATTTGTCTTGTTTAGATTTTGAATTCTTAAAGCAAAAATCTAAAACCATTAGAAAAAAGCAAAAGAGAGAAGAGACAAGACAGATGCACAAATGATTTCACATACCAGTTTGCGAACTGGAATTCTTCTATGGTGAAATTTCTTCAGATCAGCAGAGAAATTAAAACCAAAATTACAGATTAAGTATGCCAAATCTGAAAATCTGAAATTCAGAATGCTCCAAAATCCGAAACTTTTTGAGTGCTTACATGATGCTCAAAGGAAATGCTCCTTGAAGAACTTCAGATTTTGGATTTTCAGATTTGAGATGCTCAACTGGTATGTATAATGCAAATATTCCCCAATCTGAAAAAATCTGAAATCCAAAACACTGCTGGTCCAAAGCATTTCAGATAAGATATATGAGTTTTTCATTTAGTTAAATTTATTCACTCTTAAGGACCATGCTTTTTTTTGAAATTGTCTATCCTATTTTTTAATATGATAATAGATAGTAGTTGTTCTTCAAATGTTTTTACTCTGGAGAATAAAAGTTGATAGCTTTATTTGCCCACCATTTGTTTCATTTTTTTCTCTTGACCTGTAAGATCCTAAAGTCTAGTAAGGATAGGGAATGACCACTGGTGTCAGCAGCCATAATGCTGTTAATAAGGCTAATCTAATTGCTTTGCTTGCTATAGGCATTCTCTGCCTTCTTTCTGGATATGACTTAGCCTAAGCCTGAGGGTGGATCTGAGCTTGACGGTGTTTGAAAAATAAGAAATGATTAAAATTGGCAGATGGTGCTAGGGTCAAAAACAAGATATTAGTCAACTTCGATGCAAGTTATAGAGGTTAATTGAAGTTTGTTACTGCATCACATGAAAATAGGTGGAATTTGCTATTCTTGAAGGATAAGTTTGGATTAATTTGAATTAGATAATAAGTTAAATGCACTTTGAGGGATCCTGGGGGGTGGACACTGTTAACCCTTTGCCATGTATCTCCATTTCTCTATAAATATGTCCATGGTAGTTTTAAAACCTGACTGCAACTTCTTTGATACTCATCTGATAACAAGATAGAGTCTGTGTTCCCTCTCTTACATGTATGTGGGCTTGTGATTGATTTTAACCAATCTAAGGTGGTGAAAGTCATCATAGTCACCATATGTGACTTCTGAGGCTAGGTCATAAAAGACCATGCAGTGCCACATTGTCTGCTGGAACATTTACCTTTTGGAACTCTCAGTCTTCCTGTGAGAAGTTCCACTGCCTGAGGCTGGCATGTTGTGAGAAAGCCCAAGACAGAGACCCCTTGAAGGTAACACTGGTCAACAGTCACAGCTGAGCCCAGGCTTTGAGTCACCCCAGCCTAGGTGCCAGTCATGTGAGCTGAGAAGCTGATTCCAGCTCCTAGCCCGTCGCTCAGTCATTTGGGTCATCCCAGCTGAGGCCCTAATCCTGGCCAGAGACACACCGTGCCTGCTCTGCCTTGTCCTAAGTCCTGACCTGAAGAATTCATGAGGGTAATGATTATCGTTTTACTTCACTGAGTTTAGGGTTGTTTGTTACACATCTCTTCCAGTGAATAGATAACTGAAACAATTGTCTTTTGTCTGTACATTTTTGTACTGTTTATCTAATCTGAAAGAAGTTTCTTGCTTATAGTGACTTTTTTTTTTGCCTGTAGCCTACATACAGTCCATTAAGTTTTTCTTATTTTAGGGATAGGTCGGCTCCAGAGTCTGAGATTGTGCTAACTAATCCATGAGTTAAGTGAGTTACATTTAAAGGTTGCAAGCATGCAGGGGAGAGATCTGAGTCTTTAGAATAAGCTTAATGTTCCAATGTTTCCTCTTTTCTCCTTTCCAACACATGGGAGGGGAAATGGCCTACTATGCACCAAATGAATGGAGAAGAAAATAAAAGTAACACAAGTGGTAAAATTAAACTTTCAAATCTGAACCTTGAAGCTATTTCTGTCCACTTCTAAGCTTCAACTTTACCTACCACTGTATTTCAATGGCATTAACTGCATTTACATTGTGCAGCTATCACCCCTATCATCCCCAGAACTTTTTCATCACCCCAAAGAGAAAATGTGTACTCATGAAACAACTCCCCATTAGCCCTTGCCTCTGGCCCTGGTAACCATTGTTCTGCTTTCCGTCTTTATGAATTTGACTATTCTTGGTAACTCATATATGGAATACTATAATATTTGCCCTTTTGTATCTGGCTTATTTCACTTAGCTTGAGGTTTTCAAATTTCGTCCACGTTGTATCATACATCAGAATTTCATTCCTTTGTAAGATTGAATGATATTCCTTTATGTGTATATGCCACATTTTGTTTAGCCATTCATCCATTGATATGACACTAGGGGGTTTCCACCCTTTGCCTATTGTGAATAATGCTGCTATGAACATGGGTGTACAAATATCTGCTCAAGTGCCTGCTTTCAGTTGGTTTTTACATTTTTAAAGAGTTGTAAAAGAACATTTTAAAATATTTACTCTGGAACTTTTATAGAAAAAGTTTACCAATCCCTGATTTAGAGTAAATTTTTAAATTTTGGGCTATTATGAAGTTGCAGAGTGAATCTTTCCATAAAGTTCATTCATTTCTTCATGAAGAAAGTGATACTTAAATCTTAGTAGGATTTCTCTAAATATTTGAGGAACTCTGTTTGGTCCCAAGATCAACACTGGAAAATTACTGCTTTGTTTTTGTTATTAAGGAAGAATGAAATTCACTGGTTTGAAAGTAAGATTCAGTGATTTTTAAGGGGCTCCTGCTGTGAATTTAGAATGAGAGAGCATAAGAGTTCTTTAGAGCCAGCATTGAGCTATGAAAAGGCCCCACTGTGTATAATTAGGTATGCAGAAGCTAGAGGCACTGTCCTTTCCACTTTTCATCTGCTACTCTAATTTTACTCTGAGCAGGCAATGTCCTTTGAATCCTAGCATGTCCCTAAGGCGGAAGTTTCCAAACTTTCTTGTTTCACAGTGCCCTTAGAATCTTGCTAGTTTTTTCATGGTGTCCCTTAGCCAGAGAAATATCTAATAGTTTCACTTATTAAGTAATTAGGTCCAAACACCTAATTACAGACATTCACATAAGATCTGACAGATGTTTCTGTGTTTCTTTAACACAGAAAACATCCCAAGGTGCTTCGATGAGTTCACTCCAGCACCCTGTCACTCTTCAGCACACTATTTGAGAGTTGCAGTCCTACCTGT